AACATGGCAATTTCAATGTACGAGAGTTACAATCTTCATTTTGACCAGCTATAGACGTGGCTGCTTATTGATAGATTTCAAATACATCATGGATCTAATCCACCGGTCGGGTGAAGACTAAAAAGCAGTTTTATATATTTCAAAAACCTTGACGACATAACAGTTTGTGTCTTATATAGACATTTATCACATCAAATCGCTGTTCTCTAACAATTAGCAGCAGTTTGACCTTTACTTCTTTAAAAGTCAAATTAATTAGCAAGTAAAACCCATGTTGATAGCATGTATAAGTATCTGGGCTTCCCAGTATTCAACACATTTGAGTATTAAACTTGAGCAAACCATGTCTCTCTTACAGACAATAAGAAAAGCATTGAAGCTAAAGTCAAAATCATCAGTATCTTCAAAATACAAAGTTGACGACGATGAACGACAATTGTTTGCAGCAATTAACGAAGGAAATTTTCGAATGGCTAGAAGTCTGATTGAAGGAAAAGTTAGTGTTAATTGCAAAGACTCATCAGGTTGTACTCCTATGATAGCCGTGTGTAGATTACTGACAGCAAAGTATAGGACAATTAAAACACCAGATATCGTAAAGTTTGTGACATTTTTAATAGAACAGAATGCATTTCTTCATGAAAGAGACATTTTTGGAAAAAGTGCTATGGACTATTCTTGCGAAAATGATGGAAAAGATGAAATAAGGCAATTATTCCATGGTGCAATACAAAAATCACTACACAGATATTTGTAGTAACTATTTATTACTCTAAGTTCAGCATATAAATACTACATTTTATTGTAGATGATGAAAAATATGTAAGCCATGTATAAATCTATAAATTGCATTTGATAAATAATAAAAAAAGAATGGAATAATATATTTATCTTTATTTTAATTTTATCCTAACTTCTTAACACAACATGTGGCATGTCATTTTGACAAGTAAGCTTCTGAACTCAGTTTATTATATGCAGTTGTACAATTCAGTTAACCACTGACTGTGGATTTTTTGCTTAAGCCATTAATCTTCATTTATTCATTACATACAATACGTGGTTATGTGTATCCTCAATGTACGTCATGCATAGTCTTTGGTTTTCTATGTTGTGTTCAGCGTATCGTTGTTTGTCGTTTTTCGTTTTTCGTTTTTTGCCATGACAATGGCAGTTAGTTTTAGACTAATGAGTGTGGATATCCCTTTGGTATCTTTCGCCTCTCGCAGTAATTATTTGTTCGTTCTTCGTCATAATAGATTTATTCAAATGAATGGGATGAGTGAGTTCTCAAAACATTTTTCGCAAGCCAGAAACACAGTAAGTTATAGTCTTTATATTTTGTCTTTTGTGGAATTTTGTGTTGATAACAAATCTTCGTTAGTGTATCCATAACTTGTTTAAACTAGGGGATATTTAAGGCTTAAGTTTACAATAAACATTGTTGTTGACGACAGTATATTGAACTCAAAGTTTAAGTCCATGACTTGTTGACGTGTAATAGAAAAACAAAGGATATGGGGTATCCATCCATGCCACAAAATCAGTCCATGCTCAGCAAGCACACACACACGGTGAACACCGTTCATATACATTGTCACAAACTAGCATTTAACATTCATAAATTACTATTATATCAACACAACAACCGGTTCTCACATTTATGCTTTACTGAATCTTTAAAGCTTTTATATATACTTTGTTTTTAAATCCTGGAATTTCCATTAAGTGTGACAACAGTTCCCGCTTTTATTTATGAAAGATCGGTTTATCTGCAGTGAAAAGAGAATCAAAATACTCATGCTTGTGGTTGAAATTAGCAGCTGATAAATTTATATTTTCTGATTTCAAAATGAATCATTCATAGTGAAAATGAGATATTATGATTTATAAGATAAAGAGGTTACAGTAAGCACCCACTGGAGATCTGCAATTAGTAGGTTAACTTTGTTACAAAACGTTGTCTTGTCAGATGGAAAAGGAGCCACGTTTTCTTGTAGGTTCAATATGTATATTTATTTCATCTTTTTCAATAAAACGATTTCTTTAGACTGTAAAATGCCATAATTTACTCAAATATAATATTTAAAAAGACTGTTAATTTCTACAAACGTTCAAATAAGCTGTAAATACCAAACCCTGAAGTATGTCAATTCGTTTACGAAAAGAAACGATAAACATGGATGCATTTGATAATTCTTTTTTTTTCTTAATTTTATTGGGGATAATACTTTTCCGGTGTTTTATTTGTTTTTATTATAAACTTAGCATTAATATGATACTTTCTGCATATGTGTAAAGAGCGGGAGTAAACTAGCCATGAATTTACACCCAGGCTGGTAACCCATATCAGGGGCCTCTCGTGCAAATAACCCGCAACAGTGCCTCTTGCGCAAGTTACTTCCGGTATCTGACACACAAAGACATGACAGAGGGTGATCGGTTTATTAATGTTGCAACTGTGATATTTGAGCAGTCAAAATGCATTGACCATGTTGACCGTATATTCATATGTGATCTACAGTTACTGACCGTTTATCGCCTTATTTAAGACGCTGACAATGCTTATTCGTAGAGTTTGTATTTATGGCGTCAATACAGAATACAGTTTCGCAAAATGTTTACCTTGTCTGCTTGAAATTTAGAAATGCTTATTTTTACCGCAAATATTTCATTTGGAACAGTTGTAGGAGTTGTAGTAACCATACATTGTCTCGAAATATAAATTTTATATGTAATCGGCTCAAAAAAGATGAATACATGTTATTTGCCTCATATAAAAACAATTTGTCGGAAGTAAATAATTAGCCCTCGACTAACGTATCGGGATGATATCCGGGCCGATATGGAAAAACCCATGTGTTAATCTCCATATAAGTGTGTTTCTAGATTGTTCATGGTTGTGTAATTTAATTATGTTGTAAATACTCCTTCGACCTGTGATAAAAAAAAAGCTATGAGTAAATATTAAAATGAAATTACATCTTTTTATATTTTTTTTACTGAATTTATATTAGTATAACAGTTTTTCAATAGTGTTAAAACATAAAGCAAAGTCCGAGAAAGTTATAGCAGAAGACGATTACCCTGTCGACGTAACAGGTATCGCTCCTATTGTAGTTTATGCGATTCAATTAGTTTTTCTTTTTTATTCTTTAACTGTTTTTACCTTAAATTTTAACTTTAATGCATTGATGATATTTGAACATCGATAAACAATTGTTGTTACTAATGATATAATTTAATTTACTTAACTTTATCACGTGCAGATACATTTGTACATGACTAAATTTAAATTGTTGGTATTTTAATTCCATGTTTTGGTTTTTTTATCGATTTCCACTTACACATTTTAATAAAACAACTATTTGCAGCTCTGATCTACAATGAATCGGAGTGTTAGATATTATTTTCAAATAGAAACATTATTTGCCCGACATTAATGCAGAGGGAAAATAGAGTTGGCTTCCCAGGCTCGACAACACTGTCACGTGTGATGCTTGTCATCCTGATAAACGTCATTGCTGAACTTTATCATTGTTCTTTTATTACACCAAGCGTTATTGCTTTTTGCTAAAAGATAATCAAATTAAGTAAAGCTGAGATTTGTTAATAAAATGACTAGTTGCATCTCTGCTCGAAATTGTTCCTGAGTGATAAGTTTTAAAAAGGTGTTATTTGTTCTATATTCATGTTGAGGAAAAAAAGAAGTGAACTTTTCAAAGATCGGTTTAAATCCAAACTAAATATTTTTGTTATGTTTATATGCACCTTCACGGTTCTACAATCTGTCGAAACCTGTACTTTGGCATTCACAATGTCATGTTTTTGTTTGACTGTTAATGACGTCTTTACACTTAATCCATTGGATGTTGTACTTATTGATATTTTGTTTAGATACATGATTTTTTTTAGTAGTTGTTATTGGCTTTGGACTATCTGTCAAGACTGCGAGTACTCTAAGATGTTTACTAAGTGTCTGTTTTGTTGTGGGGATGTATAAATACCCTGCAACGTCCGGTTTGTGTTTGTGTTAGTTGTTTTTCTGCTTTGTATCGTTCTGATTAGTTAAGCTTTTTTCGACTGATTAATATAATATGTACTGTTACACCACTGTCCCAGGTTAGGGGAAGGGTGTGGTGTGTCAATAATCATATTTAACCCCGCCACATGCTGTATGCGCCTATCCCAAGTCAGGAGCCTGTAACTCAGTGGTTGTCGTTTGTTGTAGATCATATTTGTTTTTCGTTCATTGTTTTGTACATAAATTAGGCCGTTAGTTTTCTCGTTTGCATTGTTAAATGTTTTTCATTACGGGCCTTTTGTAGCTCAATGTGTGGTGTAGGTTTTGCTTATTGTTGAAGGCCGTTCGGTGACCTATAGTCGTTAACTTCTATGTCATATTTTCTCTGATGGAGATTTGTCTCATTGGCAATCATACCAAATCGTCTTATTCTTATATCGACAACACTGTCATGTATTGTGCGTTTGTTACAACAAGCTGTACTTTTTTCTCGTTTGAATTGTGTTACGTTTGTCATAACGGGCCTTTTATAGCTCGCTGTGCAGTGGGTTTTGCTTATTGTTGAAGGCCATACTGTGACCAATAGTCGATAATTTCTATGTCATTTTGATCTCTGATGGAGAGTTGTCTCATTGGCAATCATACCACATCTTCTTATTTTTATATCGACAACTCTGTCAGGTATTGTGTGTTTGTATACCAGGCTTTTCTTTTTTTTCTCGAAAGATAAGCAAATAAAATTTCGGAAAAGTGAATAAAAAACCAGTAGTGCTGAATAAAGCAAAACTTTGTTTAAGTAGTGGTCTCGTGGTTAAGGTCACTGCATACGGAAAAGCGTTCGGCGAATTAGAGTACGGAAAGACAATTATTCAATAGCAGTACATTTCTGCAGATTCTGATTAGACAAAGGAAGATCATGTACACGTGTTTCATAGTAAAACTTAGCTATTCAACATATGCAACTTTTTTTTTCAAATTTGAAGTATCATTTGACTTTAATTCTAAAAAACTGTATGTTAAGTTTGTGAGTGTCTGAATGGTAGTATGGCTACATCAACAAGCCGTGTTAAAATGACCTTTATCACAATTAATTCCGATTAATTCACTAAAGTTATGTCCATATAAAAAAAATCATCAACACTTACAACTATTTCGATCCTAATTCATCCGTTTATATATTTATAAACCTTTCTGTTGGCATGACACTCATCAATGAAAAAAGAGTTTACATACAACATTGGAATTATGTAAAAATATAAAATGATTTATATGACGAATAATGGGCTTTTTCTTGATTGTATATATTTTCCTGCTTGAATTGCACAATCACCGGATTTTTTCCTGTATCCGTAAAAAATATTCCAAATCAGATCCTGCAGAAATAATCAACAAACTCTGTAAAGAAAAAAATTAAATTATATCTTTGTTATTTATATGTTTTACATAAAGTCCTTTTATATGTCAACGACTATGACGATATAGGAGATGATTGAATTGTTCTGTTTGAAGTATGTCTATGTCTGATAATTTCATTTACATGTGGTATTTAAATGGATGGAATCAAAAACAAACACAATAATACAAATAACAATCAATAAACGTTTTTAAGAATTACCAAGAATTTTGTGTTCTTTCAAAACAATCGAAACTGATGTTCGACGCTTCAACTCGAAATTGAAACAAAAAAAACTATTATAAAAAGAACTGATTGAATAATTACCGTGTAAAATCCAATCTTTAATTGAATTTTGCAGATATATAACTTAACAGGTAAATGCAGGTGATTAGATTTCAACTGATGCTTCAATTACAAAAAAATATTATAAAACTTGCGGTCACAAAAAAGTAAGTGGCGATGGAACAAATAATTCTTTGTATGTGAGAGAAAAAATACTATTATGAAACCGAATCTTACAAGAATGGAAAATTTTTTCTCAGTTATTTATCATTTCATTTTTACACGAAAAAGAATTTCCAAATTCAAATGTCATCTCCCTTATGTGGTCTTTTTTAAATTTTTTTTTGTTGCTACCGATGGAGACATTTATATACAGGATTGACTGTATCTCACATTTGAATCTTAACATGACGCTTTCGTTTAGCAAAATATTAGGAACACATGCGTGGCGTCACTGTTGCAGCCATTAACATATTCGCATTTAAAGTTTTATAAAGCGAAAACAAGAAAACATCAAAAGGGGAAATCGTGGATTGGCCGTAATGAGGACGCGGTGTGTCAGTGTGTGGTAGACTGTAGGTTTTACAGTAATTGTGTATATTTTTATATTAAGTTTATGGTATTATATTTTTTTATTATTAGACTTATATTAATTAAAAGGTATGAGTATATTAATTACAGATTGTAATTAATTGATTAGTATATTTATATGCTTTGTTCATTTTATTTGCTTATTTGACATTTGGACTTATTGACAGACGAGTTTTCTACTGGTTAGGGTAGCTTTGGTTTCACTGTATTTTACTTCAAAGGCTTTCTTTTCATGGTTCATTGGACCGCACACTTTCTTTATTTCTATTGGTCATTATGTTTTGGCGCTATATTTCTTTTGTTCTTTATACTGGTTATCACTTTTGATATAATGGTGGACATAGACATATGTGTTTGATATAATTCTAAGTTTGAGTAATATTCTTTCTTAGTGTTCTATATTCTATATACAGGTATATTTTTAAGTAATCCTGGGAAGATGTGATTTAATTCCAATTAGATAATTCAGGAGGCCTTTGCACCTCATGCGAGGTAGGCTAAGTGTTATTTTTGTAATGTTCGTATTTTTGTTTGTTGCTATTTTATGCTTACGGCATTTATACAGCATGCAGATTTTGCTTTTAGTTTTGTTAATTTGCTTATGTTAAAGTTTGTGTTAATCGCTTTTGTCATTTTTTGTATATTAGACTTGTTTATATAATATGGGTCGTTAAGTGCATATGGACTAAACTTTGTCAGATACGCTCAACAATATAAGCATATTGTTGAAAATACATGCAGAACGGATTTATTTCTACTTCTATTAGTAAAACATTTGTTTATCACATTACATGGATAGAAACCTATGTACCAGATTATTTATTCGATAAACGGTCAGAATCTTACTATTGTATTTATTTTGTAGGGTATTTATTTAGTTATTGTTATTATCCTGATTTTGTCAAGAAATAAAACGAATCCACCTCAGAAGAAAGTATTGTGTTTTATTAGCCCTAGAAAGTGCTATTACAAGTGTAAGATCACCCCGACGACCGGAGGCCGGAATGTGATCATACACTGACACACCAAGTCCGAGTTCCCGCCAAAATGTTACAGAACAAAAGAAAGCATGCTGAACAAAGAAACTCAAGGTAGGGTGATCTGGTAGTCGTTGTAAATCTTCTCACTAGTATCATTGAAAAATATGTGATTTCAAAAGGCCATTGAGTGTTTTACTATACATGTACTTCTTTACATGGTAAGATGACAAAATAAATTGACCAACAGCAGGCAATAATTAAATTGCAGTGAAAACTTTAGATGTTTTGAAAAAAAAATTCAATTTCACAGTAAAACTAAAGCTATAATAAATTTGAAACATATAACCTGTTTGTCCTCAAAGATAGTCTAGCGGATAGGCATTAAAAAGCATCTACCAATAGATCAAAGATTATAGATTTTTTGTTGTTTTTTTTTATTTCAATTTTTTAAAGCAAAAACTAAAAGATTTATCAAAATATGTAAATAAATATATATATATAATTCGTCTCAAATTTAGTATATATATATACATATATAGGTGGCTCATTCTCTTCAGACGTTATCACGGTTTTTCAATTCATGACATCGTCCTGAACATGCATGAAATATTTTCCATTGGACATTAAGCAATTAATAATCAATCTATCAATCAATTCATGACGAAAGACATTAATTTCCTTAAGAAAGTTTAAAAAATCATCACAAAGTTGCCTTAATTTCCCTTCACAAGGTTTCATAGTACACCCTATTTTTGTGTACAAAGTAATTGCGTGGATGATAAATTATCACAATTTTAAGATTGCGTTGTACTCTAATCAAGGTATAAAGAATCATATTTGTTACTCTTTATTTAAATAAAAGATACTTGCAATTGTCAAAAACATCTTTAAGATCCAAAGATTTAAATAGCAGAAATATTTAAAAATCAATGTGAAAACTAATTACAAACTATTGAATTTAATGGTTTATTCTGGCTATTCATACATTTTGAATTTTATAGGTAAAATAGTAAAACTTTATGTTGGAGTTCCCAGAAATTTTATGTAAACAATGGGATTATAAAGGATTATATTGTAACAATACTAAACTAATGAACCAAGGTAAATCCAGGTAAATCTTGTGAAAAATAAAGAAAAAGAATAGTTTATATTACAATATTTTATTTAATAATTTCATAGCACATTTTGTATAAATAATATTCAAAATATAAATAAGAAATTGTGGTATGAGTGCCAATGAGACATCTCTCCGTCCAAGTCATAATGTATAAAAAGTTAACAACTATAGGTCAAAGTACACAATGTTACTCACAAGCAATTGAAATTATTTAGGTGAAAACATTAATATATACAAGTAAATAATATCAATTGAAATATAAATATATTAGAATTGTAGTAATTATTCTTTGAAACAAAACACTAAATTTTGAGTTACACTACATATTCATTGAAACAAAGCACCGAAAAGTACACTGAGTTGACATTAAAACACAGCACTAACACAGTAATACATTGCACTAAATTGGACACTCAAGAGAATAAAAAGTCTTAATCAATGTGCAGGAGATGAGAAGCAGCATCTCCATACTGGACTGGCGTAAGTTCATCATTCTGTAACCTTGTTTTCAGTGTTTAAAGTCTGTCATCTATTGCCCTGTATTTTCTCTTTTTTGGAACACGTTTCCCACTGGCTCTGTATTGAATAAGTGTGAGAGCATGGAAGGCTTCTTCTTGTCTTAACAACTTGATCATGCTGAAGATGTTTGGGTGAGGTGCCTTGACTAACTTCTTCAGTTTACTATGCTAACCTTCTAAATGATTTGTTGTTCTAGGACCTTCTGTTGCGTAGTGATTCCATAGGCTTTGGTTGTTTTCTACGCAGTAGCTTGTTACATAGTCTGTGAAGTTAAGAGTTGGTGTATCAGTATCTGCAGTATCGATGTCCTCCAGTACGTTAAACCAAACATCTTCGACTGTATTGGGTGGTAAAAGTGGCATAACTGCAGCTCTCAGAACAAGTTGATGAATCTCGCCTTTTTCATTGTATGCAGTCTGCAAATCATGCTTCTGTGCATTTCTCCAGATACAATGAGTGTAGTGAAAAAAACACCCTTTAATGTTGATTCCTGGGAAGATTGAAGTCGCTGGGTTTCTGATGGCTATTTCGTAGTCGAGGAACATCGTGGTTGGTTGTAGTAGTATGTTGAATTTGTTACATAGATCTTGAAGAATAGTGAGTAGCCTTGTGTATATCTGCTGATCTTTACGAGGTAGGAGACTGTAAACCAGTGGGTGGAAACATAGTACCATCAACTTTAGCATGGAAAGTGTATAGCGGGTAGAACAGTGTTGGACAGACATAGAATGTTCAATCACAGTAGATGGTGTCTGCTGCTGCTAGATGTATGAGTTTCTCTTGGGTACTGAATACAAGTATTCGACCATTGATGTTATCATCTGCAAGTAAGAAAGGTTGTCCAGTAGAAGTTTCAGCCCATTCGCCATCTACTGTGATATCTGCTACTGATGTTGGTAGTGTTGGTAATGTCTTGTGTCTCTCGTTGTTAAGCAGGTCTTTGCATGAGTAGAAGGTTGGTATGTGGTTGTATGTGTTGATTACGGGTAGAGCTTTTCCAATTACATCTGTCTCCACGTCTTGACTTTATCTGAAACTTGTAGGATACGTGTTTTCAATGCTCTTCAACTTTGTACTTGTTAGGCTTTATAACTATTTTGATCTGAGCGTCACTGATGAGTCTTATGTAGACGAAACGCGCGTCTGGCGTATTAAATTATAATCCTGGTACCTTTGATACTATTTGCACCACTGGGTCGATGCCACTGCTGGTAGACGTTTCGTCCCCGAGTTTATCACTAGCCCAGTAGTCAGCACTTCGGTGTTGACATGAATATCAATTATATGGTCATTTTTATAAATTTCCTGTTACAAAACTTTGAATTTTTCGAAAAACTAAGGGTTTTCTTATCCCAGGAATAGATTACCTTAGCCGTATTTGGCACAACTTTTAAGAATTTTGGGTCCTCAATGCTCTTCAGCTATTTACTTGCTTGGCTTTATAACTATTTTGATCTGAGCGTCACTGAGTCTTATGTAGACGAAACGCGCGTCAGGCGTATTAAATTATAATTCTGGTACCTTTGATAACTATTCAAACAAAACAAATCCCATTTGTTTATATACATTTCATGTAAAAATTATTTTTATTTAATTTCCAAAGGTAAATTTACCTGTTACCTACTTAGACACTAATGACTAAACCAACATATTTTGCAAAAACAACATCTATTGTTCTTCCCATAATCTCCCATGCAGGAATAGCCAGAATAGTAAAATACACACTGTAGGAATAGGCAGAAGACACCAATTTAATTTAGAACACAGCATTTTATTCCAAAATACCCAGTGGTAATTTTTAATATCTTGATTACGATACAATGAAATCTTACCCTTGTGGTCATTCATGCGTAGTTACTTAGTACACGGAAAAAGTATGTACTATGAAAATTAGAAGGCAAATTCAAGTAATTTGATTGGACGAGAAGTTGTAAGTATGTGCTAAAAGAAAATATATGTCGGTTTACACTAGTGAGTCAAGCGTAAAGTTTTAAAAGCTTAAAAGAGCAAGAATAACTAGCAACAATGATATTGTAACACGTTAGGGCGCAACCATTTGATGTGGGGTGTGCAGGGATTTGTACCCCAGATCAGGGCCTAACACAGATCAGAAATTTTTTTTTAAGTATTGGTGCAAGCAATTGAATTTTCTTTTTAAAAATCATTGTTTTTGACATCAATACCCTACCATAGGAATGAAAAGTTGCGCCCTTACCATCGAATGTGAGTTGACCATCTTGATCTACATCTGCCTCGTTAAATAATTCTTCTGCTTCCTCTTCCGACATCTTCCGTCCACCGCCAGCACATAATACCTGTCGGAGCTCCTCTTTATCAATAAATCCATTTCCATCTGCGTCAAACTTTTTAAATGATCTCTTATATATTTCATTGTCTCTTTGAATTTTCGCTAATACTTTTTGCATACATGCTCGAAATTCACCATAGGTCACAAAACCATTTCCTACAAATTATATACATATATATATATATACATATTTATATCAGTGGTATGAATGAATATTAATGTGAGTATATCAATGACTGCAAAACGTATCATATTCTTTTTTTTGGTTAATTGAACTCCTTTTTATCGGTAAGGCGATTTGGCAGGTCTAAGTGGAGCGAGGTTGAACGAGAAAGTGGGAGGTGGACGAGAGTTGATAAGAGGCTATTTTCCAATAATTTGAGTTGTCTAAAATTCTTTTCGTTTTAGTATTTAGTATTTGTTAATTTTTTCAGTGATTCCTTATTAGGAAGTAACGTCCTGTAATGCTGAAAACGATGCTAAATGCTTATATTTTGTACAAACAGTATTTAATGAATACATAGATTAATATTCTATTGCAGGAAGCATTAAATATGCTATAGCAACAAAAACGTATTTACAAAATGACAAATGCTAACCAGCAGAGAGCAATACATAAAATACACAATAAGAAAACAAACAACATTTAGTAACAATATGTGATCTTGTTGACCATGCAGATTTTACACATATTCTTTATAAGTATAATTCAAGAAGAATGTATTTTGTTTTCTTTTTCATTTTAGTTTGAATAGAAAAAGTCATATGAGAAACATTGTTGTTTTCTGTATAATCACAAAAAACAGTAAAACTCGTCTATATTTATTCTAAATGAAATTTCATGTGTGATGTCATTGTTACATTATTTATTATAAATATAATTAGCAATTTTCCCTTACGTTACTCATGTTTGCTTTTATACTAAAATGATTATTAAAGATATTTGAATCCCATGACCGTCTTCCTTAATGAATCATTTGGCAAAATTACACAAGTCTAAGGAGAAATCAAACCAAGAAAAAATGATGTAAAGGCCAACGTACTGTCTTTGACAATAGACAGATGTCAATCTCATAATTGTATTACTAAGTTTATCAAATGTCTACTATCTGCTAAATTGAAAAACTAGAAATGTATGTAATTTATCTGTAATATTAGAAAAAACGAACAAAAATATTTTCAACATTTCTCTCTTCATGCTGTTTCTTGACTATGACAAAATTGCTGTCCAAGTTTCGTCAAATTTATGAAGTTTGACAAAGTTATTGAATGTCTAAACAAACTTAAACCACAGACTAATCCTAAAATATTGACGATGCCGACGACGCCGATGGAATGTAAAAATGCCATGAATCGCCCACGGTACTTTCATCGAAGGCGAGACAAAACAAAACCACTGACGAGGTTAATGACTTCGGACAACTACATGTACAAGTAGCACTGCAAAAGTAGTTGATTTAAGAATTGTGTACTGTTGTTTGTCTTTTGGTCTTTTTCTGTTTTTGCTATGGCGTTGTCAGTTAATTTTCAACTTATGAGTTTGAATGTTCCTTTTGGTATCTTTTGATTCTTTTTTTTTTATTCATTTCCCTTTTTAATCCCGACCACGGCAATAAAAAGTTAAATAAAAGGACGTAAATAAAAAGCAGTACATGAAAAGCAATTTACGCTACAATAATGATGTAAGGATAACACATCATAACCAATATCACATGATCGGAATATGCTTGCAGTTTCTGAAAACAAGGTCCAAACTCTTAATCTTTTTATATGAAATCAAGGCAATGTACACTCTATAATCTTTGAAAGTACTTCCAGCGTAAATTATACATAGCTACGACGTAAATAGAGTTTGAAGTCACGATCTTGAGCAATGCCCACCAGATACTTGTGTAGATTTTTTCAAAGCACGAAAAATTACAGAAACCGTTAAATCTTGCTTGAGTCTTTCAATAAACGAATTGTCCCCCCCCCCCCCCCCCCTTCAAAAGAAAAAAAAAAAAAAAAAAAAAAAAAAGACGCAATGATTAAAAACATCATTATAGTTTTATTAATAAGTCTTTTAGATAACGTGTACGTCTATCAAAAATATTGTAGTAAAATCGGATGTTAAATTAAACATTTTATTTCATTACTGCAGGTAAATTCAATCATACCCAATAAATCTAAATGCTTGCGATAGGTATTAGTTAAGGCTTTGGCAAATTTGTTATGTCTATATGTATATATATATATATCCCTGCTGTTACAGTTTTTTTAGTTTGGAAAAAAAACGGCTTTATAAATCTTAGACTTACGCTGCAAATACGCCTATATCAAACACACTGAAAAATGTACACTGTTAGAGGTGGCCAACGGATCATCACAACTAAAAAAAGGAAATGTTGCCCACCTTCCATAAATTTGGTTTGCTCATCATTACCATGATCATTTTGAGGAAAAGGTCAATATCAACGTTAGATTAATTTAGATTGAAATGAGATGATAGATTCCAATGGCATGTTTGGAATAAAAACTTGAATTGTTCAACAGTGTCTCGTCTAAATGTTAGCAGGTATTGTTAAAATATCGATCAAGTCTTGTTTCGTTTAGTATTTACGAAGTATTACATAAAATGTGATTCGCGACAGTAATATAGAATAAACATGGAAAAGAGGGTTGGTCAAAGTTAATTCATATCGGAATACCAATCACTTGAAGTTATGTTAAAATCTAACATAAAGTTTATGTAAGAATTAATGGCTTTAATTATTTCTTTCAATGTCCAATTAGAGTATTTTGGAGAAGAAGAAAATAGACATTGCATTGTGTTTGCACGGAAACTTACAACGGACATGTGAAATGAAAATAAAATAAGCATTGAAATGCAACCTCATCAGTCCATGAAGCTGATTTCTTCTGATATTTGATCATACCTTCTTTGTCTATTTCGTCGATTAGTTTTGTTGCCCTCGTTAAGTTTATCTTGATACCAACACCTTTCCCACCATTCATAAGTTCTTCCGGTGTTATATGGCCATCATGGTTAGCATCCAGTTTATCGAAAACAATCTTGATTGTAGCTGTAATAAAATTGAATAAAACATGTTTTACTTTTTCGTAAATCTCTTTACTAGAGCGCAAGGGTCGCTTATATAATCTTTTTCTATGAAATGATCATTGCTAATCAACTAATATCCTGAAAATAGCTATAATAACTTACAACTATTACAGCTTTTTCACACAAGTATATATATGAATTCAATCTCACTTCTTTTCCAAATTATATGCGCACTATTTGCTCACGCGCATGAATGTTCTCAACATTTGATCTTATTCCGTCTGGGTTCTTGAAAAAAAAAACATCTAGCTTACCACTATTTACACCGTACTGGTCCTTAAACATACTACTCTAAAAATGAACCCATTTTTGCGTTTTATTCATTTTATAGATTTTCAAACAATACGACATGAAATGAAGGTGTTTATTTATTCTATACTTTTGATAAATACTTCAAAATAATTTACCACTCCAAATAATGATTTTAACAAACTTTTGGCTTTGACAGTTTCTACACATGTAACCTAAATATAGTATGTAAGAACTTGTGTCAGGTACCGCCATACTTTTACATATTTCTTTGTAAGAGAGGCGAAAGATATCAAAGGGAAATGTAAACTCAGAAGTCGAAAACAAACTGACAAAGCCATAGCAACAAACGATAAAAGACGAAAAGATAAGCAACCTAGAAATCCAAAGACTAAGCTTAACAAACCCCACTTAAAACCGGGGTGATCTCATTTACTCCGCAAAGGGTTAGCAGGTCCTGCTCCACATGTGACATTGTGTGCTGTTCCTGTTTGTCTATTTTCAAAGAAGTCTGTTGGTGATGTTTGTTGTTGTCCGTTGCACTGTCCAATATATTTAGTAATTTTCTATCTTATTTTGTATTTTACTGGCAGAGAAAGTATGTTGATATATCTTTTTTTATGTGAGAAAAGTAGAAATATATGTCAGGTAGTTTCTACACATGCTGAGATGATGTAAGAAATAGGATTGCGTTGTACTTTCACGGGTTCGTTTACAACAACGCCTAATTTCACTCCTTTCCTTTTCAGAAATGAATATACGGATACTCATTCTCTCTTTTTTGTAAAATTTTGTTTAAAATGGACGATCAGCTGTTTTTATAAATGTTGAACACATTGTAAAAGCTAGAAAATATTAAATAAAGTTGTAATGGTTACGAGAGGGATCCAAAATCAACATTGAACTCAAACAAAGAAAAAACTATTCCTGTCTCAAATATCACACACAGTCGACAGCTTTCTTATTCTTATCTAAATCTACTAGCCAATTCTTATGGTCCTTTACACCATAATAAAAAAAAAAATAATATTTATTTTCTTTCATAACTTCTATCACTAGTATATAGCTTTTATAAAGTAACCTTACTTTTTGTAAACACATACTTTTTTATTATTGTTGCATTTAAATAATTCCAATGTAAATGTTATTGTTTTTAAATTTGTTAGTTGCTTTCATCTTTTGCTTTTATGTCTACTTGCTCCACGAAAAGTTCAATAACCGTTAATTTGTTTGTTTGCATGAGACATGGCTCTTACGTCATCAGCCACTGCATGTCTTGTATTTTTCATTCACTGGTATTATAATACCAATTGTGTGCATATAACAGGACTTTAATTTCATTTCAAACCTCGTGATATCTAACCTTTGTGTAAATTTTGGCATATATCAAGCAGATGGTTTTTTAATTTCATAGCTTCTTTCTCCTCTTTCCTATCAATTAAATTTTTGTTATAAAGGACATTCTTAAATATATCAAACACATTCATATTAGGCTATGTATTTGTACAAATTGAAAGATAATTGACTTGTTACTAGTTTTTTTTTTAGATTTATCAGAAGATTAAATATAATATGCACATACAAATACACGATTTAAGGGAACAACCATTATAATTATTTAACTTGAAATTGTTTTTGAAGAAAAGATAAATAATGTGTAGTAGGTTGGCAAAAAAAATATTCTGTTTGACAAAACTATGAATAGAAACATATTGCGTTAGGGGTATTTAAAAAAATGAATCCAAAGGTTGCTTACAAAATCCAAAACCTGACAAGAAATGCATCATATTTACAGTATCATATCTTAATAGTTGACTTGATTAATTTGAAGAGCAACAATTATAATGTTCCTTTAATAAATTTATATAGTGCATGTAAATGAACATCTACATATTGTCCATTGCCGGATTTCCCTTTCATCGGAAAAGGAACAAAATAATTATTTTAAGGCGTAAATTGTTTAACCAATATTTCCAATAACGCCCGCATTCCGCAGACCGTGGATCCACATCTGATGTTTATCCACACACATTGCAGGTACTTTTGTAAACTTTGTTTGTTGATAAAGATATTTTGAATGCATTTCAACTAAACCTGAGACTACTATAATGCATGTGGTATAGTATTTCAGACTTAACCGTTAGCTTAAAAAAATATAATACGAGGGATTGATGAATCGTGAATATCCATCTGAATTAATACCATTACAAGTTCTGTTAACTGCTCGTTATTTTATAGGAATACACATTTTACTTTCTACGCATTTAAAAAACAATTTTTCTGTTTCGACTTGGTAAAAAAGAATTGGTTTGATTGAAGTTGAAAATAACAAAAATGTGTCCATCTGTAAACAAAGAAGGAATTCAAATCGATAAAAACATAACCTCTGCCTTGTAATATAAATGGTTGCTCCCTTATTCCAATGGTGTTTATATTGCACGCAGTAAATGATCGAGTAACATATTGTTCATTGCTTATTAGGCTATCGAGTCCCAGTGTCGCATGCATGCTTCATTTTAGTTCGTTTTTTTTTGTTTTCGTTGTTGTTTTTATTTTCTTCCTTCACTTAATTTTATTTAACTAACTTCATTATTTCATTATCATCTAATTTCCTTTTTTTGTGAGATAAGAGTTTATTCACAGACATATCTAAACTAATTGCTTTCTAAAGTGTTTCTTCGAATGTGACATACCAATTTAGACTTATCTTCGGTTGTAGTTGCATGTTCAACACGACGGATGACACATGTGGAGCCTGATCTACCTACCTCTCAGTGGACCTGCGATCATTTTCTGCTTTTGGTGGGCTTCGTGTCGCTTAGTCTTTAGTTGTCAAAAAAAGGGCAATCTGTCTAGTTTTTTTATGACAAGTAAATTCACTTGCATTTTAACCTACCCCTTTTATGTAAACATTGACATATGCAGCAGACTGGTTGGTATTTTCAAAGCTTCATTTTGCCCTTTCCGATCATTTTAATTTTTATTATAGAGGTTATTCGTAAATAAATAAAACAAACGATATCGCGTTCTAGATTCGTACACATCTCAATGAGGTGCGCGTATAACTGTTTTATGTATTAGAAAAAATATTTAGGTTCCAAATGGGAGAAAAACAATAACATGTCGCAGCGTTGGCACTTAATATCCACATACCCATGTAACATTAAGGTTGAACGAGAAAGTGGGAGGAGGACGAAAGTAGATAAGAGGCTATTTTCCAATAAATATAACATTATGTGCCTATCCTAAATCAGGAACTTGTAGTTCAGTAGTTGTCGTTGGTTCGTGTCTGTCATGTTTGTTTTTCGTAAATTGCTTTGTTATGAATTAAGCCGTTAATTTCACAATTGGATTATTTCATATTTTTAATGTCGGGCCCTTTTTTGGCCGACTATACGGTATGGGTTTTTCTCATTGTTGAAGGTCGTACAGTTGCCTATAACTGCTAACATCCACTTCATTTGAACTTTAGTAAATAGTTATCTCATTTGCAGTCATACCACATCTCCTTATTTTTATAAACTTGTTAATTACTATATAACTAATTGTATTTGCTAATTGAAAAGCTGAATACAATTATTTAAGACAGCAGGGAGGATAATTATGTTTGTTTATTACTTTAACAAAAATAGAAAAAGGGGGCTCTTCCTCGGATGGGGGATCTACTCTTTCAATCCAAGAGTGGATTTGTGACAGATTTTTCTCCCCACCTTTGCTATTCTTTCTCATTTATTGTAAACCAACTTGTTTTCGCGGATACTTTATTTCGCGTTTAGCCCTTTGTAGCCTACTTTGCGGCGATTTATTTTGACGTATTTATATAAAGGAACATAAAAATTTAACAAATTCGCGAAGATTTATATTCGCGTTATATTTCAACTCACGAAAGTCGCAAAAATAAATCGCTCGCGAAAATTATTTGGTTTACAGTATTCAATTGATATGATTTATATCGTATAGCAAAACAACCTCAGACTCTGGCCTGTGTATACATTATTTTGTTTATGGTATCTGTCTACTTGTCTTAAAACTAATGTGTTGCTTACTGAAAAGCTGATTACAATCATTAAAGAAAGCAGGGACGATTAATTCTGTTTGTTTATTGCTTAAACTAATATAAAGATGGAGCTATTTATACTGTAAATTTTTGAGGTCTTTGTACTGGTCAGTGGTCAGATTTATCAAAACTTTTAATCAATTAGTCAATGAATTGTTGAAATTAGATAACACTTATCACGTGTAGAGAAATTTAACTCATGACTAGTGCATGATTTGATTATATCTTTCATATTGATCAATGATCTTGCGAGGTCAGCACGTGTATGTGCTCTCTGTACACTTCCTTTCATCATCAGCTTTCTTCTTGTTAACTTGTGATTCCAACCCGCATACCTCCCATAATTTTATCTTTATAACAAGATAAGTAAATATGTTTGCAAAATGTATTTTTTGCATTTTATGATTTTGAATAAATGATCTTTTTTCGTCAATTTCGTTTTTATATCTTATAACAAAACAACCTCAGACTCTGGCCTGTGTAAACATTATTATGCTTATGGTATCTGTCTGTCTGTCTTAAATATATATACACTTTAATGGATTCCAAAGGGATAACAATTTCATAAAAAAATGTAACCTTTTGAAAGAATTAATTTAGGACAAAATCACGTGTTTTTAAGCTTACTTCACTTGTGTAAATATTGTCATATGTAGCAGATGTTGGTTTTAATTTCGTAGGCTAAACGTGCGTCTGGCATACAACATTATAAGCGTGGTATATTTGATTAGGTTTTTTTATAGCTTCTTTTGCCCTTTCCAATCAATTACATTTTTATCATAAAGGGTATGTAAATATATTAAAACAAATGTCTATTGCACATGTATAAGGTTATGAATTTGTAGAAATTGAATGCTAAATGACTTATAGGTTGCACTTTGTAAATACAACTGTTTCACAAGCCGCGCCTCTTTTGTGGAGATATATAATATTCATAGATATTTTAATTTGTTAACGTACTGATTCCCAGATATGATCTCTGTGTTTCATCTCATAGAGGCAAAACTTGGAAATGTTACCAATATAGAAAAAATGGTAGCACCAAAAATGGAGGTAGGGCTAGTATAGAAGTTTAGTACACGTTTAAACTCTTAGAAATTCAGGGCATATAAATGTTGAAAATATGCCGCACAGCCCTATATTTTGACCTTTGAATAAAATAGTAGTGCATATCAACTTTCCGTTCTGGGATATAATGTTACACGAAACTTCACAGTAAAAGTGGCACAGTTTTAGCCGCAAAAGGAGTTCCTATGGGAATAGAATTGCGACCTATAACTGTTTTTATTTAACACTTAGCTGAGGATGAAATATAATTATATTATGCAGTTTTACAAAACTATGAGAAAAAAAATCTGCTTTAGGTATATTTAAAAATCCAAGAGTTGGTTAAAAAATCATAAGCATTACAAAAAAGGGTTAAGACGATATTTACATACCTAACTTTTATTTTGAACTTAAATGATAATTCTTGGTATTTCAGTCCATACTTTACCTTTCAGTGATTTATCAAGATGGAGAACAAAAATCGAGCCATTGTACTTTTGATACATATACATAATGCATGTACATGTACCCAACGTACAGTAGAGGATTTCCCTATCCTTGGAAATAAATATCAGTTTTGTTTTGTTTTTTTTTTGGCTTAAAGTCTACGCTCGGTGGTATTTTACCATTTTTCACAATTACACTCCCCTTTCTTTTGACACTGGACCTGCCCCTGATATCTGTCTTGTTAACTCTTTTGTAAACTTTGTATGCTGTCAAAGATATATATATGCCTTACAACTAAACCCTATGGCTAAATGATATGTAATACAATGGATTGCTGGCTTGGGACTATTCACCTATATGTTCTACAATTTCAAAAAGCTTTATTTACAGCTAGTGATTTCATAGGAATTAACATCTTTTATTTTGTAAACATAAAAATGTATTGTTTCAACTTGGAAAGAAGAACAATAATGTGGTTGAAAAAGGAAAAAGTGTCCATCCGTTACAAAAACAACCCATTATTTATACAAACATAACACCTCCCTGAAGATAAATGGTTTCTCCTTTACTCCAATGGCGTTCACGCAGTAAGTGATCGAGTTCCATATTGCTCATTACTTTTTACGATCCCGGGTCCCAGTGTTGAGTGCATGCTTCAGTGTAGTTTAGGTTTGTCTTATTTTCATCCTCGTTTTTAATTTTATTTAATTACATTATTTCATTATTATCTAAATCATTTTCTATTCACAAACATATCTAAACATGTTGCTTTCAAAAGAATTTCTTCAAATGTTACCAACCGATTTAGACTTGTTACCGGGTTGTAGTTATATGATCAACACGACGGGTGGAAAATATGGAGCAGTCTGCCTACCATTCTGGTGCACCTGAGACGCTCCCCTGTTTTTTTGGTAGGGTTCACGTTGACCAGTCTTTAGTTTTCTTTGTTGATTTGTGTATACTGCTGTCTGTCTTTTTGTCGTTTTTCGGTTTTTGCATGGCATTGTCAGTTCGTTTTCGACTTATGCGTTTGGATATCCATTAACCATCTTTCGCCTTTCTTTTTCTTGCTTAATCGCCAATTTATGAATGGAAACATATTGGGACAGAACTCATCGACTACCGCCCTCCTGGTTTCTTTGGCTGTTTAGGTCGATTAAAATATAATGTCTACCCAATTTGTTTTAATTGATTTACTATCAGTTAATATATATATTTGAATTTTCGTGTGTTCATCTCGGGTAGAGCTGAAATGAAACATATGTCGAACCGTTCCAACGGCCCTCAAGACGGTCAAATACCATGAATTTACTGTATCACAGCATCGGCATTTACAAAAAGTATTTCAATTGTATAAAGCATTCACAGTATCAAAAAATCATATTATTACGTACTTTGTAATTCAAACGAAATTATTTAGTATTTTGCAGTATTCAATCAAATTAAAAAACTATACAATTATTAAGTATTACTAGCTTTGATGGATTTTGGGAATTTGTGATTTAACAAAAAAACAGAAAGGAAGGACATTTCTTAATGAATTTAATTGAAAGAAATGATTCGCATTTTTTCAGAAAAAAATAATGCATGTTGGTTAAAATTTACCTTTAATATTCACATACCCATGAAACATTTAGAATTGTCTATCAAAATTTGAACGTAAAAACCTATGATTGCGTTGGATAAAAACCGCAATTTTTATACGTGTGCATGCAAAACAAATTTCTTGGTAGAGGGGTCTAAATACAGCACAAACAACATTTTCCACAATACGCATTTGACTAGCAGGTCGAACAACGGATGTTCTTAAACCCTGCTGATATATATATATATAATACGTCGCAGCGTTAGCCAAAAATATTCACATACCCTTGTGTCATTTAGAATTGCTTATCAAAATTATCTCACCAAACAAATGTTTACGTAAAACCTTTAATTTCAATTACTAGTACTATTGTTTATAAAGTTTTCAATAGTGACCATATGCGTATAAACTCATATGGTCCGGGTAATAAATTAATACGATGAACGTTGAAAAGTAATTTTACTGTAAATTACATTAAATGATCTATTGACTCAAGCTAGCGAACAATTGTAGCGAACAATTAGCTAGCGAACAATTAGGAGGTATAACTAAAAACCACAATATCACATAAGGTTATCACGTTTTTTCGAGCTAGCGAACAATTATGAGAATACATACAATTTTAAACAAAAACGAAAAAACTAACTTAAAACAAAAGGGAAACCATTATTCATATATAAAGAATACAAAGCTTTTCTTTCCTAACTAAATAAATCCACATAAGGCATTCAATAGACAGCTGGATTACAATGACCATAAGTTAATACAATGACACAATGCATTTATAGGGAATGGGGGTGCACTTAACGTTGTTTGGTCCGATTAATAGAGATTGTGACAGGTTAGGCTATATAGGTGTTTAAGAGGAGATAGTGCCGCATCGTTTAGGAAAATCTCCAGAGTGGTTTATGTTCGAAAATCTTAAATTGTGGTAGAAAAAACTGAAATTAACAAAATGAAATTTGGGTATAGGACATTTTAAGTTAATTTTTGACCAATTTGAATAGATTGTTACAGGCAACGACTATATAAGGGTTTTAGAGGAGACATTTCTCATCGTTTAGGAAAACCTCAAGAGAGGTTTATGTTCGAAAATCTGAAGTTACGGTAAAAAAACTGAAATTGACAAAATAAGATTAGGGGGTAGGGCACTAAAAGTTAATGTTGAACCAATTTATAAAGATTGTGACGGGCAACGACTATATAGGTGTTGTAGAGGAGACATTGGCGCATCGTGTAGAAAAAAAATCCAGATCACTTTATGTTCGAAAATCTGCAGTTAGGGTTAAAAAAAAGAAATTTACAAAATAAGATTTGGGGGTTGGGCACTCAAAGTTAATTTTGGACCATTTTATAGAGATTGTGACGGGCAATGACTATATAGGTGTTGTAGAGGAGACATTGGCGCATCGTTTAAGAAAATGTCCAGAGTGGTTTATGTTCGAAAATCTGAAGTTACGGTTAAAAAAACTGAAAATTTTATTGTGAAATTGACAAAATGAGATTAAGGGGGTAGGGCACTAAAAGAAAAATTTGGATCATTTTAAAGAGATTGTGACGGACAACGACTATATAGGTGTTGTAGAGGAGACAATGGCGCATCGTTTAAGAAAATCTCCAGAGTGGTTTATATTCGAAAATCTGAACTTACGGTTAAAAACTGAAATTGTGAAATTGACAAAATGAGATTAGGGGGTAGGCCAATTTAAGTTAATTTTGGACCAATTTCAAGAGATTTTGACGGGCAACGACTATATAGGTGTTGTAGACGAGACAATGGCGCATCGTTTAAGAAAATCTCCAGAGTGGTTTATGTTCGAAAATCTGAAGTTACGGTTAAAAAACTGAAATTGTGAAATTGACAAAATGAGATAAGGGGGTAGGTCAATTTAAGTTAATTTTTGACCTATTTCAAGAGATTGTGACGGGCAACGACTATAAAGGTGTTGTAGAGGAGACAATGGCGCATCGTTAAAGAAAATATCCAAAGTGATTTATGTTCGAAAATCTAAAGTTACGGTTAAAAAACTGAAAATTTTATTGAGAAATTGACAAAATGAGATTAGGGGGGTAGGGCACTAAAAGGAAATTTTGGACCATTTCAAAGAGATTGTGACGGAGAACGACTATATAGGTGTTGTAGAGGAGACAATGGCGCATCGTTTAAGAAAATCTCCAGAGTGGTTTATGTTGGAAAATCTGAAGTTACGATTAAAAAACTGAAACTTTTATTGTGAAATTGACAAAATGAGATTAGGGGGGTAGGGCAATTTAAGTTAATTTTGGACCAATTTAAGAGATTGTGACGGGCAACGACTATATAGGTATTGTAGAGGAGACAATGGCGCATCGTTTAAGAAAATCTCCAGAGTGGTTTATGTTCGAAAATTTGAAGTTACGGTTAAAAAACTGAAATTGTGAAATTGACAAAATGAGATTAGGGGGTAGGTCAATTTAAGTTAATTTTGGACCTATTTCAAGAGATTGTGACGGGCAACGACTATATAGGTGTTGTAGAGGAGACAATGGCGCATCGTTTAAGAAAATCTCCAGAGTGGTTTATGTTCGAAAATCTGAAGTTACGGTTAAAAAACTGAAATTGTGAAATTGACAAAATGAGATTAGGGGGTAGGTCAATTTAAGTTAATTTTGGACCTATTTCAAGAGATTGTGACGGGCAACGACTATATAGGTGTTGTAAAGGAGACAATGGCGCATTGTTTAAGAAAATATCCAGAGTGGTTTATGTTCGAAAATCTGAAGTTACGATTAAAAAACTGAAACTTTTATTGTGAAATTGACATAATGAGATTAGGGGGTAGGGCAATTCAAGTTAATTTTTGACCAATTTAAGAGATTGTGACTGGCAACAACTATATAGGTGTTGTAGAGGAGACAATGGTGCATCGTTTAAGTAAATCTTCAGAGTGGTTTATGTTCGAAAATCTGAAGTTACGATTTAAAAACTGAAACTTTTATTGTGAAATTGACAAAATGAGATTAGGGGGATAGGGCAATTTAAGTTAATTTTGGACCAATTTAAGAGATTGTGACGGGCAACGACTATATAGGTGTTGTAGAGGAGACAATGGCGCATTGTTTAAGAAAATATCCAGAGTGGTTTATGTTCGAAAATCTGAAGTTACGATTAAAAAACTGAAACTTTTATTGTGAAATTGACATAATGAGATTAGGGGGTAGGGCAATTTAAGTTAATTTTTGACCAATTTAAGAGATTGTGACTGGCAACAACTATATAGGTGTTGTAGAGGATACAATGGCGCATCGTTTAAGAAAATCTCCAGAGTGGTTTATATTCGAAAATCTGAACTTACGGTTAAAAACTTTTATTGTGAAATTGACATAATGAGAATAGGGGGGGTAGGGCAATTTAAGTTAATTTTGGACCAATTTCAAGAGATTGTGACGGGCAACGACTATATAGGTGTTGTAGAGGAAACAATGGCGCATCGTTTAAGAAAATCTTCAGAGTGGTTTATGTTCGAAAATCTGAAGTTACGGTTAAAAAACTGAAATTGTGAAATTGACAAAATGAGATTAGGGGTAGGCCAATTTAAGTTAATTTTGGACCTATTTCAAGAGATTGTGACGGGCAACGACTATATAGGTGTTGTAGAGGAGACAATGGCGCATTGTTTAAGAAAATATCCAGAGTGGTTTATGTTCGAAAATCTGAAGTTACGGTTAAAAAACTGATAATTTTATTGTGAAATTGACAAAATGAGATTAAGGGGATAGGGCACTAAAAGAAAAATTTGGACCATTTATAGAGATTGTGACGGGCAACGACTATATAGGTGTTGTAGAGGAGACAATGGCGCATTGTTTAAATAAATATTCAGAGTGGTTTATGTTCGAAAATCTGAAGTTACGGTTAAAAAACTGAAAATTTTATTGTGAAATTGACAAAATGAGATTAAGGGGGTAGGGCAAAAAGAAAAATTTGGACCGTTTTAAAGAGATTGTGACGGGCAACGACTATATAGGTGTTGTAGAGGAGACAATGGCGCATCGTTTAAGAAAATCTCCAGAGTGGTTTATGTTCGAAAATCTGAAGTTACGGTTAAAAAACTGAAATTGTGAAATTGACAAAATGAGATAAGGGGGGTAGGGCAATTTAAGTTAATTTTGGACCAATTTAAGAGATTGTGACGGGCAACGACTATATAGGTATTGTAGAGGAGACAATGGCGCATCGTTTAAGAAAATATCCAGAGTGGTTTATGTTCGAAAATCTAAAGTTACGATTAAAAAACTGAAACTTTTATTGTGAAATTGACATAATGAGATTAGGGGGTAGGGCAATTTAAGTTAATGTTGGACCAATTTAAGAGATTGTGACGGGCAACGACTATATAGGTGTTGTAGAGGAGACAATGGCGCATTGTTTAAGAAAATATCCAGAGTGGTTTATGTTCGAAAATCTGAAGTTACGATTAAAAAACTGAAACTTTTATTGTGAAATTGACATAATGAGATTAGGGAGGTAGGCCAATTTAAGTTAATTTTGGACCTATTTCAAGAGATTGTGACGGGCAACGACTATATAGGTGTTGTAGAGGAGACAATGGCGCATTGTTTAAGAAAATATCCAGAGTGGTTTATGTTCGAAAATCTGAAGTTACGGTTAAAAAACATAATTTTATTGTGAAATTGACAAAATGAGATTAAGGGGATAGGGCACTAAAAGAAAAATTTGGACCATTTATAGAGATTGTGACGGGCAACGACTATATAGGTGTTGTAGAGGAGACAATGGCGCATTGTTTAAGAAAATATTCAGAGTGGTTTATGTTCGAAAATCTGAAGTTACGGTTAAAAAACTGAAAATTTTAGTGTGAAATTGACAAAATGAGATTAAGGGGGTAGGGCACTAAAAGAAAAATTTGGACCGTTTTAAAGAGATTGTGACGGGCAACGACTATATAGGTGTTGTAGAGGAGACAATGGCGCATTGTTTAAGAAAATCTCCAGAGTGGTTTATATTCGAAAATCTGAACTTACGGTTAAAAACTTTTATTGTGAAATTGACATAATGAGATTAGGGGGGGGTAGGGCAATTTAAGTTAATTTTGGACCAATTTCAAGAGATTGTGACGGGCAACGACTATATAGGTGTTGTAGAGGAAACAATGGCGCATCGTTTAAGAAAATCTCCAGAGTGGTTTATGTTCGAAAATCTGAAGTTACGGTTAAAAAACTGAAATTGTGAAATTGACAAAATGAGATTAGGGGTAGGCCAATTTAAGTTAATTTTGGACCTATTTCAAGAGATTGTGACGGGCAACGACTATAAAGGTGTTGTAGAGGAGACAATGGCGCATTGTTTAAGAAAATATCCAGAGTGGTTTATGTTCGAAAATCTGAAGTTACGGTTAAAAAACTGATAATTTTATTGTGAAATTGACAAAATGAGATTAAGGGGATAGGGCACTAAAAGAAAAATTTGGACCATTTATAGAGATTGTGACGGGCAACGACTATATAGGTGTTGTAGAGGAGACAATGGCGCATTGTTTAAGAAAATATTCAGAGTGGTTTATGTTCGAAAATCTGAAGTTACGGTTAAAAAACTGAAACTTTTATTGTGAAATTGACATAATGAGATTAGGGAGGTAGGGCAATTTAAGTTAATTTTGGACCAATTTCAAGAGATTGTGACGGGCAACGACTATATAGGTGTTGTAGAGGAGACAATGGTGCATCGTTTAAGTAAATCTTCAGAGTGGTTTATGTTCGAAAATCTGAAGTTACGATTTAAAAACTGAAACTTTTATTGTGAAATTGACAAAATGAGATTAGGGGGATAGGGCAATTTAAGTTAATTTTGGACCAATTTAAGAGATTGTGACGGGCAACGACTATATAGGTGTTGTAGAGGAGACAATGGCGCATTGTTTAAGAAAATATCCAGAGTGGTTTATGTTCGAAAATCTGAAGTTACGATTAAAAAAACTGAAACTTTTATTGTGAAATTGACATAATGAGATTAGGGGGTAGGGCAATTTAAGTTAATTTTTGACCAATTTAAGAGATTGTGACTGGCAACAACTATATAGGTGTTGTAGAGGATACAATGGCGCATCGTTTAAGAAAATCTCCAGAGTGGTTTATGTTCGAAAATCTGAAGTTACGGTTAAAAAACTGAAATTGTGAAATTGACAAAATGAGATTAGGAGTAGGCCAATTTAAGTTAATTTTGGACCTATTTCAAGAGATTGTGACGGGCAACGACTATATAGGTGTTGTAGAGGAGACAATGGCGCATCGTTTAAGAAAATATCCAGAGTGGTTTATGTTCCAAAATCTGAAGTTACGGTTAAAAAACTGAAATTGTGAAATTGACAAAATGAGATTAGGAGTAGGCCAATTTAAGTTAATTTTGGACCTATTTCAAGAGATTGTGACGGGCAACGACTATATAGGTGTTGTAGAGGAGACAATGGCGCATCGTTTAAGAAAATATCCAGAGTGGTTTATGTTCGAAAATCTGAAGTTACGGTTAAAAAACTGAAACTTTTATTGTGAAATTGACAAAATGAGATTAAGGGGATAGGGCACTAAAAGAAAAATTTGGACCATTTATAGAGATTTTGACGGGCAACGACTATATAGGTGTTGTAGAGGAGACAATGGCGCATTGTTTAAGAAAATATTCAGAGTGGTTTATGTTCGAAAATCTGAAGTTACGGTTAAAAAACTGAAACTTTTATTGTGAAATTGACATAATGAGATTAGGGAGGTAGGGCAATTTAAGTTAATTTTGGACCAATTTCAAGAGATTGTGACGGGCAACGACTATATAGGTGTTGTAGAGGAGACAATGGCGCATTGTTTAAGAAAATATCCAGAGTGGTTTATGTTCGAAAATCTGAAGTTACGGTTAAAAAACTGATAATTTTATTGTGAAATTGACAAAATGAGATTAAGGGGATAGGGCACTAAAAGAAAAATTTGGACCATTTATAGAGATTGTGACGGGCAACGACTATATAGGTGTTGTAGAGGAGACAATGGCGCATTGTTTAAGAAAATATTCAGAGTGGTTTATGTTCGAAAATCTGAAGTTACGGTTAAAAAACTGAAACTTTTATTGCGAAATTGACATAATGAGATTAGGGAGGTAGGGCAATTTAAGTTAATTTTGGACCAATTTCAAG